CGAGAGATTTAGTCGCGATGAAGTGAATCAAATTTGTAAACGCGTATTGTAACGCGATCAGCAATTTTCTACAATCTTAAGAATTCGGCAAGTGCGATGGAGAACGCATGCATACGAGGAAAGGTTTTGTACCATTTCGTTCTGGCTACAAGTGAGATTGGATTAGCGTGAGAATATTTAGTAATTGAGAAAATAATTTAGCGAAATCAAAGAGAAACGTCCACTGAGAAACGTGAATAAATTTAGAAGGAAAAGTAGATCTTAGATATCACGTAATAATATCTGTATTTTTTTATTGCACGTTTTAGCGTAGAAACTTAAATACAATTCTATTTCTTTTATTTAACAAATTGAATGACGCATGATTAAATACTGCTTTATCCACTTAGGGCCAGTTGTTCCATCTTTGGGTAAACTGTGTACTATGTGACAATTTATTTAATAGATAAACAAAAGAGTGAAAGCAGAGAGTAAGAGAGTAAGAAAGCGAACTAAAAGAGAGAGGAGGGGGAGAGAGAGAGAGAGTTTATCGAAAGGTGGAACAAAGCCTTAGTACTGTTAAATTAGAAAGAAATAATTATAAATGTATTGTTAAGAAAAAGAAAACCATTGAGAGAATCAAAAAACTTTTTACAAAACATACGTTAAGAAGAAAAAATTGGCGTTGAAAGGAATTCTGACTTCTATTCGAATTTCCTGGGAACAGAACAGAATAACGAAGTTAAAGTTTCCAATGGAAATTAGATTCCTTCTAACTCCATTTATTTTACAGGACAAGATTAATCTACTTTTGTAAAAGGATAGTAACTTTCTTAAGCTTCGAGATTCGATCATGAATGAGAATGAAGACTATCGTATGAATTATCTAGCAGGGAAGATTGCTAGAGTTGCTGTAGAATCTTTTTCCGTATGTATGCGTACTCGTCGTATGATTTAAGGAAGCATCATACTTCAGTAGTCGTAGCTGAACACACTATTTTTGATCTGTGAATGATGATAGGGCTGAGCGACTGTGGCGACTAGCCAGCTACTCAACAAATTGATTGCTCGTACTTACAATTAATGCCGTAGTCATTCCCGTTAAACTCGAGTGCTTCTTGTTCCATTTAACGATTAGCAGGGACGGGATGGTGGGATCGCATGTCCCCCCGCATGCCAAATGATACAACACAAACAACACTCGGATCTGAACAAAGTCGAGGGCACAAGTGGTCTCGATCCGAACCTATTCGGAATATTTGATACGTCCGAGAGGCGAGACTGTTATTATTTTAATTCTTATCGCGTACCACATAAACTTATAATTGATATAAGATGGGGCTGCTGTATTTTTACACGGACTTTGTACAAATATAACGGAGTTCTCGCGGGGAAATCCTGCGCCGGAGAGATATGTACATACCTGTATACCAATAAATACTAGACGAAATGTGGTGAAATGAAGAAGCTGCGACCGTGCAAAGAAAAAAAAAACGAGCTCACACGTACATAGTATAATATTATTGCAAGACACGTTTTTATTTAGTAAAAACATCCAGATAAAAGAATATGCCTTAATTTGGAGAGAAGCGGAAAGGACTAGTTTTCTATTAAATATATATGCCATAAATTAAATTTAGTAAAATTAATCATTACATTAGGATGTGAGTTTCAGGAACTTACAATTAAATAGTAGATCTTTCAGAATTGAGAAGTTTTTGCACTCGTTATTGCACGGTCGTGAGCTTCAATCTTTGTTAGTATTATTCCGTCATCTCTTCTTTTTGAGTATGATTCTTTTATTAAGCAGATTTTTAAATCTTAAGTAAAAATAAGATCACATTAGACGAGACATTTAACTAAATTGTATTTTTTTCGTAATGTAATAGTAAATAATTATACAATGTAATTGTAATTATAATTACAAAGAATGTATAATTTTACTTTTTATCTTTTAAGCATTTATTATTGATTTTACGTGTTTATTTATTGGAATTTTCATTGGAATTTTGGGATCTCTCATATTTGTAACGCAAATTTTTAGGTAATTCTTTTATTAATATCAAGAGTATTAATCGCATCATTTTCAGCCTCTGTTGCTCATATCAATTATCCTTTTTCTTATAATCCTTGTTATTATCGTTTTTATCGTTAGACTGTTTTACGCTCATTGCAGTTAACTGATTTGCATTTTTATCCTGTGCAAAAATTTCGGCCTGTCGTTTTAAAATATCCATAGCGTAATTAACTCTGTTATTTGTTATAACTTCTTTTAATTCTTCTCCATATTGAATTTCTGTAATATAATTATATGACTAATTTAATTTCTAATATTTTCAGAATTTTTAATAGGTATATATATTTTAAACTATAGTATCATGAATAATTATGTAATTCAAAATCACGTTAATGTTGGAATATAATTCAAATGCGAGCTTACTTTTTGCGTATCGTGCATTGTCTTCTTCTCTTTGTTTCTTAATATCTTTCTTTCGTAATTCGGCTAAATATTGTACAAACGTGGCATCGATCGCTTTATCTCTCGCTTTGCGTTCAGCTTTCTGTTTCATCTTCAAATAGATTTGTAACGTTTTATATATATTAATTGTTAACATAAGATTCTTTTTATATAATTTTTACAAAAATAAACAATTTGAGAAATTCAAAATAAATATTTTAGAATTTTTAACTATTAATTGTAATTAGTGATCTAAATTTATTATATATATTATTAATTCGGAACAATTAAAAAATTTAGAAATTTTTATTATTTTGAGAAAAATTGGATTCAATGTAACTTTGCTAGTGGATTTATAGTAAATACTTAAAAAAATTGTGATAATGTTACTATTTCTTTGAAGGATTCAGCAATATCACATTGCTTCTTTGGTGCAAGTCTGACCGATTCTTTCATCCACTTATTCCTCTGCTCTTCTCGGTACAATTCATCAGTGATTTCCTGGTTTTTTTTTTCTTTGCACACATTAGCCAGTAGTTCTCTAGCTACGTTATCTATCGCCGCTTCTCTCGCTGCGCGAAGTTCCGTCTATATCATGAAAAACATACATTTGAAATACTTTTATCCTATAAATTTATCAATTCAAAACATACATGTATTTCCAGTAAAACTCGGTTTTACCTTCGTACCGAGCTGTTTCTCGTGTCGAGCTTCCTTTTCTGCAATTATGCGAGCTATCCTTTCATCTTCATCTTTTAATGCTTCCTTATATTTTCTTTCCCATACTTTCTTAGCCGCTATAGATGCGGCCATCTCTGTTCTCAAAAAAATCGCATTGTTCTCTTTTTTTTCCTTCATCTTTGCATCTTCCTCTTGAATCTTCTGTATTGTTCGTTCCATCATTTTGCGATCCTGTTCTTTCTCCTCAGTTCTTTTCTGTTGAATTCGTCGCTGATTGTCCGCCAATTGATTCTGTAGATCTTTGCGCCTGCTTTGCTTCTTTTTTTCATCCTCAGCTCGTTGCAGCTTCTCGGAAATTTTATCTTCGTGCCAGTGCTTTAATAGTTCCGCCTGATTTGCTTCCAAACGAACCTTTTCCTCTATCAAATGCGATTGGACCTTCTTCAGAGCACAACTCGTTGGTGATTGCGCGAAGGATTTTATGTAATCGAATTTTAGCGCACGTTTTACTTCTTCATCTGTAATTCACAAAGAAATTAGTTTCCTGTACGATATCGCTAGAATGAAAGTTCTCCGTGTAATAGTTCCCGACGAATTTTGGTATACAATTCATAAATCTTTACTTTTACGCCGCGATAATTCAACAGCTAGCCTATGCGTCACTTCAATCTCTTCTTGTTTCGCTTCAGCAGCTTTTTGAGCATTCGATAATTCCTCTACTAAAGCGGCTTCTCGTTGTTCGGCTTGCAAACGACGTCGTGCGATTTTGTAATCGCCTCGCTTCACTATCGCTGCTCGTCTCGCCTCCAATGCATCTTCCTTCTCGTCTTTTATCCTTTTATCATTCTCGTCCGTCTTTATGTCCAGTAAGTACCATCCTCTACGGGTTTTCACCATCTTTACGTTTCGTCACGATGTAATTTTTTCCTGCGCGCCATTCTGCGCGCAGCCGGCGCAGCATACGCTTCGCGATAGTTGATTAATTTCAAGCAATTTGATATTGCGTCCTCAATTTGAGAATTAATCAACTATCAGTATTTTTATTGAGGACCTCAATAAAAATGTAATGCAGGTATCGAATGATAAAAAGTTCATGAAATTGCAAGGTGATTAAATACGAATTTTGCTTCTTAGAAGTTCCTGTTTATTTATTTATTTTTTTAAATTGAAGACTTGTTTACTTTATATAATTATATATTTCAGATAAATATCGATTTATTACTGCGCAATTAATACACACATTTAGAAAGTATAAAATTACAGATTTAATTATTATTCTTAATACTATATGTGCAATTTACGTTATATGATTGTTTCCGCATTTGGAAATCTAGCATTTAATAATATTTAATGTATAATTATAACGTAACTGTTAATTATATTATTAGCTCAATAATAACTGATGAAAATTCTTATAAACTTTCAGAAGATGTTTAAAAAAAAAATTCAAAAGATATCTTAAAAATGTTTTCGTGTTGTTTCTCGGATAAAGTGTGCAACTGGTGCGTTCACGTAGCAATTATAGCATTCGAAATAGTAATGAACCAATCGGAGCGTAACGTTTGGAGCGTAACGTTCAGAGTATTTGGAAGAAGTAAGGGACCACAGCCCTATTCGCAACATCTGGTCTGTTTTCTGTTCCTGCACTAGACTGTTCTAGAACTCTCTTTCTCGCTTTAAATAAATATCAAAAGTATCTCACTTTAAGTTCCAAAAGTGTACACTAGTTAAGATTTTCAAGAAATGGGGCAAATGTGATTGGCTATCTGCTCCCTTCTACTTTCGGGCTACTGCGCATCCGTGGGAATGACTCACCTTACGTATTTCCGCCATGCGCATGCGCGAGTATGGGGCATATCTGGCAGCACGGGGGTCGAAATTTTGCGATCGTGCCTCATCTACGGTGAACATCAGGCGGCAAGTTTCGTGTGTGATTTTCGGTTTTCGTTAGTAAACCATCACCACGTCTTTCCAATTCACATCGTTTGGGTACGTATACCATTCACGTGAATATATAGAAATGTGCTGATTTCGCGTACGTACTGAAAATACTACGATATTTATGTTCGAATACCGCCCGTACATTACTTAGGTTATCCGGGAGCGTCATATTGATTTCCTGCTCCCTTTATCCAGCTATTATTTCAGAAAATAAATACTAGAACTTTTGCTGCGTATCAAATATGTGAACACACATCCTACTTAGTAAATTATTTTATTAAAAATCTGGAGAAGCGTAATATAACTTGTACATATAGAATGTGCTAGCTTAATTAACAGGATTATTCAGAAAAATTTAGATTAAACTGTTAGATATTAATTTTATCAATTAAGCTTTAGAGTCTTTAGAGGTATAAGAAGAAAAGGCATCCTTGTTTATATAATTTGAGGAAAAATATAGTTTAATGTAAAATTTTAATTAAAGTTTAGTCCACTGTGAAACTATTGAATATTACATTTTCCTATAGAAAATAAAAATTTATCATATTTTTGTGATAAAGAAGAATATGAATGATGCAAGTGCAACTGAATTTATATTTGTTCTTAAATTAAAATTTATTTAAGATGTAACTGTGACAGTACAATCGTTAAGAGCCATAGAATAGGTTTCTGTATGTACAAAATTATACATAATATTATTATGTACATATCTCAAATTATTGGTAATATTTTTTGTTATAGAAACAATATGGTACGAGGTCGCGGAGGGATGATCAGAGGTGGTCGAGGTGGTATGGGTCGTGGAATGGGTTTCCCAAGAAAGCAGTTTTTGCCACGGCATCCATTTGATTATACACTTTGCGAGGCGGCTTTCCCACGTGTTAAACCTGCTCCAGATGAGTCAGATTTCCAGTCAGCTCTTGTGAAAAAGAATGCTGATATGTGTCCCACTCCAAAGGAACAGACTTCCATCTTAAATCTTGTAACTAAACTACAGAGTGTTCTTGATAATCTGATTGTTGCGCCAGGAACCTTTGAAGCTTGTGTAAGTATACATGTTTCCGTAGCACAATTATAAATTAAGCCTCTGTTTCTGTTTAATACCTCTATCATATATTATACATTGACATCATATTATTTGCTTCTATATATATTCTCTTTTAATGTAGCAATTGGAAGAAGTAAGACAAGTTGGCAGTTTTAAAAAAGGTACGATGATAAAAGGCCACAATAACGCTGACATTGTTGTCATCCTCAAAACTTTGCCAACAAAAACAGCGGTAGAGGCTCTTGGGAGCAAAGTCCATAATGACTTGAAGGCTGTGAATCCGAAAGAAATCTTTAGAGTTACACAAACAGAGTATGGATTCGATATTGGAAATAACGAAGCTACTGTGCGGGTATTAATAACGACGTTACACCAAAATCTACGTAAGCTAGAATCGGAGCAACACTTGGACGTCAAAATCTGTCAAGGTAGTTTTTGCATTTTTATAGTTAATATAACTTGGCAATTATTAAAATAGGATTTCTTGTAGGACATCTTGCTGCTATTAGACATTCTCGTTGGTTTGAGGAAAACGCTCATCATTCTAGCATTAAAGTTCTAATTCGACTGCTTCGTGATCTTAGAAGCAAATTTGAAGGTCTGCAGCCATTAACCCCGTGGATGTTAGATCTATTGGCACATAATGCTATAATGAACAATCCTAGCAGACAAGCATTACCAATAAATCAGGCGTACAAAAGAGTATTGCAGTTGCTTGCCTCTGGATTGTTTCTCCCAGGATCAGCAGGTATATTAAAAACTTATTCTTAAAATTAAAAATATTTGACTTAGTTATCAATGGAAACTACGTGATATCAGAAGTGAGAAAACAGTACGCTGATAATTCTCACAAGTGTGTGATTGACGAATTACAAGAATTATTTGCATTTTAATATCAAACAGCTGATGTTATATTGATTTAATCGTATAATTTTGCAAGAATTGCTACATAAATTATTATATTTTTCAGGTATTTCCGACCCATGCGAAGGTGGCAATATACGTGTGCATACAGCATTAACACTTGAACAACAAGATCTTGTATGTCTCACTGCCCAAACATTACTACGTGTACTGGCTCATGGTGGCTACAGACCATTACTGGAAGGCACCAACAAACTCGCAGTAGAGATGAGCGTGTGGGCAGGAGGCGTAGTGGCAAGCCCGTTAGAAAAGGCGTATGAACCACCTACGGAGCAGGAGCAGCAAGAGGATATGGACGAAAGTACCGAGGAGATGATCACCGAAAGTGTTTAGGATCTTGAGGAAATTGGGAACGTTTTGTGAGTTCCTCTTTTTGTACGAAAAGTTACTTTCTTTTCGGTGTTTCTTATAAAACGTATTGTATTTATAACTTGCACACATACATTTCGATGATGAATGAATTATGTTAATATTTCAAATTATACTTTTATATGGTGTTTGTATTTGCACCATAAGCAATTTGATGATGGTAATGTGAGATTTGACTTAAAATAAAGTATAGATTAATGTGCATTCTACCCGATTAACTTATTCTATTTCTAAGAATTTTTCTATAACACTTTAAGCATTTATACTCAACGATGATTGTATAAATGCCGTGAAGAGATTTGATCTCTGAAGATTAGTTTTATGTAAATTTTTTTATCGAAAAATGTTTCTGATCCCCTTAAACATTTGGGTAATGAGTGTGTTGCAGTGATATCGTGTAAATATTTGAGAGATCAGCTGTTTTTTTTTTATTTCGAATATACTCGTCCACGTATTGATGAGGTGTGCGCGCACATTAAATCTCATAATATTGTGCACACATTATTCGAAATATGCTTATGTTTTGTATGCACTTGCAATTTGGCAGTGATGTGCACGTCATTTAAGCGTATAACGAAGTGTATAGTAGAATACATTAGTCTTTACTTAGAACCTAGTGTAAGCAAGGATCATTCTCTGGGGTTCTGACGACTCGCGCGCAATTAACCGTACGAGAACTTGCACCCGGCCGGACTGGTATCTTGAAAAGCTTGCCCTGTGGCATACACACACAGACTTTGTACTGCTCGTAGCTTGTGGTCGGGCTTTGCAGGAACATCGGTGCCACCGGAATATCCTCCACGTCGATGAAAACGCCGTCCTTAGCGTCCAACACGACGCTGCCATTTACACTCTTTAAGAAGATATCGAGATCGGCGCTCCACACGATGTCCTTGCTTTCCATGTATACACCCTCGGCACCGTGCAATGAGACCTCGTTGTCAGACTTGACTGTCAGGCTCTCATTGACTGGCGACGTAATTCGATGAGTCTCTGCGATTCTTACGTCGATCGTTTCGACGCCGTTTGGTAGTCCAAAGTTAGGAAAGTCTGTAGTAAAGTAGATTGTACCGGTACGTGGATCCTTCACCTCAAATGATTCCACCTGTGACATAGTGGTACCATTCGGTAAGACGCCTAGCTTCGAATGCGGATATGCTTCGTGGGTGTGTTCGCGACTCTTCACGTCAACATGTACCCCAGCTTCATCACCGGATATTTCCATTGGCTCATCGCCGTAACTCTGGCAGATGCCTGACTGCAGGGATATCTTTAGAAAATGCAAAATGTGTATATAATATCAATATTTGCGAAGAGACATCGATATATTGAGTAGCATAAAGATTATACTTATTATTAAATTTTTATTGTTTCAGACTTTTTTATACTCTTATATATACATATATTATCCGTCTTTAAATGTCAAATATGTATATGTACCTTGTCCAAATCTGTTCTTCCATAAAACTTAACAAGATTTTCGTCCGGGATTACTTCTATAGCTTCCATTCCTTGACTTATGCGCAAAACAGCGATGACAGTAATGTTTAGAAAAAGATTGCAGAGACCTATTATCGCTAGGACCAAAGTCAACATCCAGAGACAATAACGTCTTTTAGTAGATTTTTCACCCATCGACGATATGCCGTACGAAGAAGCGATTGTCCTATTAACATCCAAGCAGAAAATTAATCATCCGAAATGTTAATTTAATCTAGCTTGGATTATATCGATTGTTGACTATATTTATATTAATTATATTTAATCATTTTTTAATTCTGATTATCCTTTATTTATTTCCTTTCTAATTAAGATAATATAAAAAAAGTTTAATTGTCCGTACATTAGTAAGTAAAACAATTGATACACATGCGTCATCAAGTAAATCTTTCTAAAGAAAAATATTAACGATTGATTTATTTTACTATAAATATTTTTCTTTAAAACTTTCATTGGATAGAAATTATTGTTATAATAATAATGCACGATTATTATTCACCTCGTATGCATGCTGCCGCAACTATTTTGACGGATAATGCCTTTAATCAGAGGCCCATCGCTATTGGACAGATTATCGTCGGCCTTCGATATCGATGGCGACCCAGTATTATTTCCGCATACATCTAGAAGAGCCGACATCGAACGTTCTTTCGTTCACCTGTTAAAAATTAAACGTTAGATCGTCATAAGAGTGTATGTAAAACAATCAGATGATTAAATAAATTATGAATATAGATATTTAAAAAATAGAATTATATAATAGGTATAGACGTAGTTAATTAATTTTATAAATATAGATAGTTTAATTTTTTATTAATTAAAAAATATTAGTTTTTGTATTGTATTAATGTATTATAAATTAAGATTTTTATTTTTGTTTTTTTGATAATTTTAGATAAAGAAAAATATAAAATCTTATATCATTTGAACATAATTATATCTCGAAACTGATACATTCATGACAATATTTAATTTTATCGACTATAAATATATCGCTACAAATTATAGTACATCGACATGGATACTAATGTACGATCACGCCCATATAGAACGATTTATACCTCGTGTCTTCAGCATCGCAGTAATTTTAATTAAAATCGTAGAACCAGTTTTGCATTTTGCTACCAAAAATAACGCTCTTATTGAGGGATCGTCCTTCGCGAGCTATCGCACTAAACAGCGAGCTTCTCCACGCCGAATGCATCTATCCTGTCGCAAAACTTGTAGTCGGTCACTTCGTGAACGGTTTCCTTACCTTGGCTGAGATCAACAGCGTCGCGGGAGGCGGCTGCCTCTTCAGATAAACGAAAATAGACGACCGCGTTACGTTCCGGATTTTCGCGGATTCTATGACGACCGAGAGCGATGGAAGTAGGTGAAGATACACCGGTCGGCGCTTGCGCGTCCAGGGATCAATGCCGAATGTCCTCAGGAATTCTACCTTGCGCGCATCCGCCTCGAAGAGTTTGTACACTCGCGCTTCTTTTTGACAATGCGAGAAATACGAAATTGAAAGTCACAAGCAAACGAAGTCATAAAAGTTTCCAAAACAGATTAATTCCAATTTTCTTATTTTTATATATGAACATTGATAAGAGGTGTAATTATAATAGGTGGAATGGTCCATTTTATATATATATACACACATATGTATACATATAATCACTCTACTAGAAATATAATAATCCTTAAGTTTAAGACAAAAATGTTTCAGGAAAAATAGCTCAATATTACTAAGTGCTTAATCAAAAATATTTTATTACAGTTTTGAATAGCTCTTGAAGCAATTATGAATATAAAAATAGGGGTTTAAAAAATTGTTAAGTAACCTTGATCTGACCTCAAGGACATCCTCTTAAAGCCAAGGTTATCTTTTCTCCTAGTAACTCAGCAACTTCTGAAATATTTTTATCTTAAACAAGATGGACCCTGTATACTAGTAAGATCGGATTTTCAATATAAGTTTACATTAGAAATGAATGAATTGTTGCGTCGTATAAAAAGGAATGTACTGAAACAAATGAAGTAATTAATGTGGTCTTGAATAAAAAACAATCAAAAAATAAAAAGCATAAAGGCCACTTTTTCGAAGATGGTTTTCATGTATGGAAAACCGTAAAAAATATTTAGTGAATTCATCATTCTTATTAGGCATGTTTATAGTTAAAAAAATAATTTCTAAATTTTAATAGAAGCAAGGATGCGAAAGGAATAAAATTATATTAAGGAGCCCTTAACAATAATGATACTCTTTTTATGTTTCATAGGATGATTTGATTGGAAATTTAAACATCTCTTCCAAAACTTTTTTTAGTTGGTTTTTTATAAATATTAATATATATATTTTTTCCATCGTCGACCATCAATTTAACATATAAAAAATTTATGCTATTATTCGTATTCATCTCTACTGTAAATTTTATTTTTTTCATGAGATAAGAATTAAATCTTAAATTTTTTAAATATGTATCTATATTTGGTGCAGCAAAAACAATATCATCAACATAGTGATAGTAAAAAGGGAGATTAATACGAATGGAAGCGAATATATTATTCTCTAAGTCCTGCAAAATGTATTTAATACTAAAATAATAGATACATTTAAATTAAAGATGTAATGAGATATTTTAATTAAAATATTCCGGCCACGCGGTTCTCTCTATCCAAGGAACGTAATGATAGACTCGGGTATACACGCCAGGTATGATGCTGCCACAAAGTCGTCCGAGACTGGTAACTCCAATTATGGTGTACATGCATTGATGGTCCGTGTTAAAAACGGCAAGTGGTCCTCCGCTGTCACCCTTGAATAAACAATTTTATTCGATTACTTTGCCTCTAAATGTTTTTGTTATAAAAACGATATACAATAAGCAATGTCTTTTTTTTTCGTTTAAAGCTAATTGAGTTTTTGATCTCTCATTAGAGAAATGAGAGCTGGAAAGGAGCAAACGTAAGTTGTGGCATGATTGGATTAACTAATAATAATAGTTATAAAAACTATTCTAAGAAGCTCGCATTAAAATAAAATTTTTATTCGCGGAAGGGAATGAAAACTTTCTAGGTGCAAATGTATATTACCTGGCAAGTATCTTTCCCGACTTCTCCCGCACATATTTGCCATTCATTGACGACCCCTAATGCGAGCTCCACGGAACTGCCGCCGTCAAAGAAACTCGCGTTGCAATTCTCGTGAGGGACCAAACGGAGTGTTACCTTCAGTAGATTATCCGAACCTTGGTCATCAGCTGAAGAATAAGTGATGTGCACTTATTAATTTTTTATGCATATGTACATATAAAAATATTTTCTTTTTTATAATAAGGTCACATTATATTTTTATACAAGCCTTATAGTAATTAATTTTAGTAACTTAGTTTTGACAAATTGACAGCTAGGTTCCTCTCTTTACCCAAGGAGAACAAAAAAGTCAAAATAATGTCAATTTGACATCATATTGACGTATTGAAGATTTTTATCATGACCAAAAAATGACATAAATTCGTCAATATGACGTCAAATTGACATTATTTTGACTTTCTTGTTCTCCTTGGGTAATAATAATAATAAATAA